CCCACATGTACTAATAGGCCATTTTTGATGTATTACAATTCCAACTTGGAGGCTTGAGGAAATACAAGAAAAGAAATCACATTTAGGTTGAGGAATGAACAATTAATTTCTTTTGTTTTATTCCCCAAAACCTCATGGCCATGTTAGAATTTTACTGAATACAACGAAAATGGCCTATTAGAGAACCATTTTTTTTCTTCTTTTGTACAAATTCAAACATTCTTTAACAATAGCTTATTAGCATTCAAGAATGCCTCTAATCACCAACATTCATGCTCTAACCATTTGCACACATTCTTCTCCACATAACTGCATATATAGGACAATTGTACTTTTTGTGTTTCCACCTTTTAAGCAGTAGTCACATGCGCCTGTATGGCGCCCATTTTTCTGTCATGCAATCTACGTTTTGTTTTTCCAATGTAGAAATCCTGGCAGTCCAAACAACCAGCCTTATACACAACTTTTGACATTTGGGAACGGTTGATCCTATCTTTATAGGGAAAAAAAGACTTCATGCGATGAGCGCTTTGGAAAATAACCCTAAGATTAATGCAACCATAAAATTTATTAATTTAAATTTAGTTGTTACTTCTATTCCAAACTGTCACTTCTGAAGATGTATGTCAAAACATACGAAATGTTCCAAAACGCGTGAGTAACATGCACGACAGAGACCATTCTCGTCCCCAGAGGCCGCGCTCCTTTTGGTCAGCACCAAGAATCACTGACCAAAAGGAGCACGACCTCTGGGGACGAGAATGGATAGAGGCGCGAGATCAACTTCGTCCCCAGGGCCTTCTCCTCGGCGATTTTCAAAATGGCGGCTCGTCGGGAGAGTTGCAGGCGAGGGCCCGAGCGGGAGAAGTTCTGGCGTCGCACTTTCGTCCTGCGTGGCAGACATGTCTAACATCTTTTGACCAATTGTATGTGTTGTTGTTTCTTCGAATGAAAATGCGTTGTGACCGTGTCCTCTGAGATTATTTTACTGGGGGACGGGACGGTGTTTGCCAGGTGAACGCTCGAAACCTATCGATTGTGACTTTTATCGTGAAGGGTGTCTGGAAAACCCGAATAGCGAATAGCGAATAGTCCCTAATAGTGCGAATAGTCTCGAATAGTGCGAATAATAGCGAACAGTCGCGAAAAGTGGCGAATAGTGAGGAATAGTCCTCAATAGTCGATATGGTCTAAAAGTACTCACGAGTGACCACGAGTGACCACGAGTGACCACGAGTGACCACGAGTGACCACGAGTGACCACGGGTGACCACGGGTGACCACGGTGTGACCACGAGTGACCACGAGTAAGGTTACATCAATAAATGTCAGTGATGTTGTTGAAAGGTAGATTTTAAAGTCATTGTAAGGTCGTTTCATCAAATAATGACATATCCACCAAACTGAGACTATTTAATGGTGTAGTAATCAGAGATTACAGCAGTGGCTGTGCGTTCACAATTCGATTGTTCAGTTCCTTTACAAATATTGGCTGTTGAAATTATGTTCTTTGATGCTTATTACGTGACCTTTTTCATTTGTGAAAGCGAAGAAAAATCCGAGAGATTTTATGAAACGAAGTGAGACTCAAAACTTTTGCATGTTTTGTTTGATTGAATAACAGATAACGATCTGCACATGAAGTTGAACTAGCAATGAATAGATTTAAAACTTGTAAAACTATAAACTTGTACTGAAGAAACTATAAACTTCCAGGAGAAGCATTTCTTTAAACTTTTTTTTCGGAACTGACCGTTCAATTTCAGAACGCCAACGCTTGTAACAAATATTTCTTGATATAGTTTATAGTCAAAGAGCGCATCGCCAAAACTTTTACTATGCATTTGTATTAATTTTTTTAAAATTGCTCAAATTTACGACGTCTTGTTTTCAAAAATTTTAAATTAGTGATGAATAAACCATTCTGACCACAAATCACGGCCGTTGGGCAAGCTACACAACTCGGAAGAAAGTTTGACCCCTGACAACTTATCATAGCCATTTGCCGAGCTACAACTCGCAAAATTTATTTTTCAATTTATTTTCATATTTTGGGTTTCCCTTTCATTCCATGATATGCAATCTGCAATCTATAGTCCACATGCCACGATTGTGAACACCTCCAAAGGAGTAGGGGGAAGACATAGAGGAGATGCACCTGTTCTAAACTGAGTCGCTAAAAATTAGCGGACTTGTTCTAGTTACACTAGTTGCGTTCACGTGGTGTAACGCAATCCTAGTCAAGTGCGTTCAAAATTTTTTGGGACGACTGTGTTCACCGATTTGTCCTCTTTGCAGGGGCAAATAACAACATGAGTGCGTGCACGTAGTCACGAGTCAGATCCGATGGCAATGCGTATGAATAACGCAAAGGGCTACAGCTACAGTTTGGCGCTGTGATTTTCGACAACAAGTAACTGAGCATGAATGTTTGTAGCTCGGCGTTCAGAAAATATATACATAGTCCGCGCCTCGCTTCGTTTGATAAAACCGCTCGGATTTTTCTTCACTTTCACAAATGAAAAAGGTAATATGATGAGCCTGAAAGAACATAAGCTCAACAGCTAATATTTGTAAAGGAACTGAACAATGGAATCACGAACGCACAGCCACTGCTGTAATCTTTGATTACTACACAACTACACCAGTAAATAGCTTCGTTTGATGCATATGTCATAATCGTGATTACTGACATTTTTTGAAGTAATCTCACTCGTGGTGACTCGTGGTGACTCTTGGTCATCCGTGGTCATCCGTGGTCATCCGTGGTCACTCATGGTCATTCGTGGTCACTCGTAAGTACTTTTAGACGGCTGTTACTAAAAGTGGGACGGGGACTTGGGGACTGGGACGTGGGACTTGGGACTCGGGGACGTCGGGACTCGGGGACGCGCGGGGACCCGAGGGCGTGGGACGTAGGGACTGGAGGACGTAATAAACAAACACCATCTGAGGTTTGCGCTGAATTTGTAAAATACAATTCTCGGCGGTCAAGTGAAAGGTAATATACGCTGGAGAGTTTGTCAGCAGACTAGTAGCTGATGATTTCCAGCGTCCATGGTGCGGCCTTGCCCATTTTACCGTGAGAGCTCTGGGTACAGAATAGTTTCAACGCAGGGGGTCTTAATCGTCGTGGGCAGCCATGGAGGACTTTCCTGGTAAGCAACTGTGTTTTCTTGTCAATCCCTGGACATCCGTGCCGTATCCTTCCTAATTTCGATGCTAATGTTTGCTTCTGGAAAACCGTTGTCCAAAAAATGTATATTTCTTCCATTTTCATTCCTAGAATCTGAAGGTGCAGATACTCCTCGTAATGATCTCGACCTGGAAAGTGAGTGGGAACCGAAGGAAAGTGCATGTCAAGAATCCGAAGAAAGGTACAAAAATTACTCTTCATAGCTTTCACATTTCATTGCTAGTGACGCTAAACAATACTGGAAAAATGCGTCTCGAGTTCAACAAACAAAATGAGTGTTGCATCACGGTCAGGTCTTAAACTACGACACGGGCATTTGATAAGGGAGAGCTATAACACATAGTGCCAAAGGTCAGAATTTATTTAAGCTATGTATGTGGTACTGGCTCGAAGTTTTCGGTTGATGAACAAATCAGGCTAATGCGAGAGCAGATAAGCAATTTTTAGCCCTACCGTGCCAAACAAGTTGTCGAAACGTTTCCGTTTTAAAAATTTGCTTACGTTATTTATTCAACAGCTGACCAAAATATCTTGAGTCAAAATGATATGTTAATTTTAATATTGTCATTTAATGTTATCTGTTCTTTTTTGAGGGAATGTCATTTCATCTAGTGTGATGAGATGGTTTGTTATGATTCAGTTTGAAAACCGATTAAACAGAGCTATTCTTAATCTGAAGTAAAATAATTATGAACGATGAATTATAAATACTTACGAACCTCACAGTGCTTCATGAAACACAAAATTCTTTACCCATAAGATTTAATAGTTAGGGTTAGGGTAAGGGTTATTGACATATCTGTAATGACTGTAAATCAACAAAAGGGAGAAAATTGATCCAAAAAATATGCTTTTAAATTTACAAATTAGGATCAATGGACCTTGGAAAGATGATCAAGATCTTCATAAGGCTTTACAACTAGGTTTAGAAGAGTGTTCTCTTGACCAAAGGTGTGCTATTTTTGAGAAATCGGTTTACTGTTTGTGTAACATGACAAACATAAGTTAAATTCAAATCTTTTGCAGTATTATTAATTGTATTCTAGGAAAAACTGATGGGTTATTACAGTACGGATGGTCCACAAAAGGTTCATAAATTGATGTAAATATCTCCTGTTTACATGCTTGTATGTTTTTTAGGTCACTGTCAAATGTGCCCCAAGATCATTTCAATGAGGTAACAAGCTTTTCAATGTGATGAAAACTTGGTGTTTATTCCAAAAAATGCAGAGAGTTTCTACCGACATATATAGGCTACTGCTAATTGATTTGGTTGCATTTCCATGTTCATGCAATTTATTTTTCTTTCGGATGATTTTAGTTTTACAGATTTACTAGCTAGCATACAGTTCATGTAAAATACACTGTAACATAGTGAATGCCATGATGATATGAAAAATTGATGTAGACTGTAAAATTACCAGGAAGTCAATTAANTAGTTTTACAGATTTACTAGCTAGCATACAGTTCATGTAAAATACACTGTAACATAGTGAATGCCATGATGATATGAAAAATTGATGTAGACTGTAAAATTACCAGGAAGTCAATTAAAAGAAAAAATCAGAGCATGGAAAAGATCAGGAGCATGTAAAACAAAAATCAGGAAAGAGATGCAAGTAACAGAGTAGTCCAGGAGGACTGTCTATGGAAACTGCTGATGGAGCTTTTAAAAAATGGTAAAATAAACCCACGTTATCTTTTGTAGGTGTGGCTCCGATTGTTTCTCACTTAATTTAACGCGCCAGAGCAATTATTAGCGGCATGTAATATATTGTAGCTGTGAAAAGTGTATAAGAAACCGTTAAAACGTAAAAGAACCAGTGATGAATAACTAGCCTTAGTGACCCATGTGCCCCCTCTTCCCTCAAGAGAATGTGTAAAAATGTTCTATACCCTGATTAAATAACCTTACAACATCCAATTCTTGCTTTACAGGATGGCAGTACCATTACTGAAATAGAAATGGTTGGGGCCTGCACGAGAAGTAGAAGGTATATAGGACAAGTCTTTATAAAAATTATCATAATTAAGACCATTTTGATGTCAAACATTTAAACTATTCCACTAATGTTGAATGCTGTGTAACCTCACAAGCTGGACTTCCCCTTAGACATTTTTCTCAGCGATGTACTATAATTAGTTTACTCAAACCTTCATTAGTGACTGTTTCTAGTTTTCTTTAAGTTATCAGTATCTGTCAGAGTTCCACTGTATTCCCATTGTCATTTTGTCCTCTTCATTTTTTCTCCAGTGTTATCAGGGAAAGTGAAGGTGATTTATCACCAAAATCAACTTCATCCGTTTTTCAACAGGTGTGTTTTTATAAACAATTGAAATATCACGAATGTTTATTGCTATTTCTTAACCATTACATTTCTTCCTCACAATATTGCCGTCATAGTCAGATGAAACCGAAATGTTGTTAGAGTTCGTTTTTGTGCATGCATGTAACAATAGTTTATTACTGATACATTTGTTCATGGATTGATATTTTATTTTACTTCACTTTAATAGGTTGATACTAGCCCAGTTCAGTCACCAGATGCTAAAAGATCTAAGGGGTATGCTGGAAAACTGGAATATATAGTACACTGAAATGTTATGACTATTCACCAAAACATGTGATGTTAGGAGTTATATGCATGACCGAAAACCTTTACACATAGCAACAGGAAAACCAAGCCTTCAGGTAAACCATTTTTGAGAGATACCCATGGAGGAAGCTAGACCAGAGCTGCTGACACTGACACAATGTTTGTAGCCTTAGTTCATCAGTTTTCTAAGTAGCATAACAACTCTTGAAAGCATTTGTACATTTGTCGCCAGCTGTGGCAGCTGCAGTTGGCTTTCATGACAAGGTGTATTGTTTGTGTACAAGTTGTTCTACTGTTGACTCACCCAATGTTGTAAAACCTCACCACAGCAGCTACGTGATGGCTGGTTGTTGGAATCTTTTAACAGGGGGTTCACTTTGTTAAACAAACCTTTTATTCTTGTTACAGAGAAAGAAACGTGGAGGAATTTGACTTTGTGCGTAGAGCAATATGTTTCGAAAGCAAGGAGGGCACTGTAGCAATAGAATGTAAAGTAGACTTCGTGGAGATAGTTGACAGTAATGATGAAAGTATCAGTAGCGATGAAAGCGAAATAACCAGTGGTCATGAAAGTGACATCGAAGAGGGGCAGGAGGATTCTGAGCAGGTATTTCCAAATGTTCTATTGAAAGCAGAACTCTCCTTTCTTGATGGAATATCGAGACAACATAACACCAAGGAGTGTATTTAGCTTTTTCTTGGTGTCCGGAAAGTTTTGGTTAATTACTTCATTAATTGGTTTTCCAAGAATTGGATCTTTACTTATGATCGGTCCCATCATGATGTTTGGGCAATTGAAATATTTCCATTTCGAGCGCTTTTTAAAGGCTCAATAGTTTTTGTACAATTTTTCGCCACGCATGCTTCATAATAAAACGTCATACTAAATTTTAGAATATAGCAGGCGTCGGAAACGACCAAACAGGTGCCTTAAGAACTCACTACCATCCAATAAATTGAATAACGGACTGTCAATTTCCATCAGTTTGTTCGGCACTTTTTATAACTTCCATGCGTATTGTCTGACTGAAACAGCGGTATACATCTTTTTTCGTGTTGCTTTTACACATTTGTGGGCTTTCTGTTACTATGCGCGGCACTTGAACCCTTCCTCTGCAAGATGTGATATGTTAATGTTCTCTTTATAGGAATCTAACAAATATTACGAAGACGACAAGCGTGTCCCATACCATGAGAAAGGAATAAGCTCTGCATGTTCAAGTGAAGAGGCTGTCGACATTTTAATGAGAGTAAAAGAGCCCGTCTGTACCGAAGTGCCACTTCAGGTTATGGAAAACGCCTCGTTTTTGGTTGACGTAGACGCCCTTGTCCATCCGGATGATTGTAAAGCTGACGATCTTGGCAAGTGGACTCATACTGGTTCTCCAAAAAGCTACATTTCCGTTGACCGCAACGTGAGGGGGGACATCTTGGATCTGAAGATAACAAGGCAAAAGAGAAACGACACCGACTTCATAATGGTTGTCAAACGCTGTCTTCATCATGACAAAGAAGCTAAATACCGCAAGAGGTTATCCTTCTTGTACGGCAGCAAGTGGCAAAGGCACCGACTTGTCTTGCTTCAGTACTTTTATGCAGAGGAGGAAGTGCAACTGAAACTTAAACAGCATGGAAACTCTAAAAACAGCAACGAGCCCTATGTGCGAACAAGACCAAGCGCCATTCAAGAACTGAAGGAAACTGTATCATCAGGGAAATGGCAACCCAGGGAGGTCTTTTTCGAATCAGTTCGTCGACAAGGGGAGTTGGAATTCTGTCGTTCCAAAAGTGAGCTGCCGCGAAATGCAAAACAAGTGAGTAACGCATTAACTTCGTCTACAACCTCCTTTGAGCCTTCCACCAACCAAAGTAGAGATTTCTTGCTAGAGGCGATGGAGAAGTGCAAGAGCAAAGATGGCCTCGTTAGAGAAGTTGTTGGTGCGCCAGAACTTGCTATTTGCTGTGGTTCGTAGAATAGCAACAAATTTACGTTTTCACGGTTCGCCGGAGATTTGACAGTTGTCATGGCAACATCAGAATCGAGATCGTGTGTTGGTGGGATTTTACTTGGGGAATCATTCTAGACTGGCGCTGCTACCAACATGTGCTGGTTTTATTTCTGCGTAGTTTTGAGATTTCGCAGCCCAGCAAATTGTCAAAATCAGTGCTAGATCAATTCCGTTCGAGCAAAGACGTAGAAGAAATCGAGTCTATCAACACTGCCAACATAAGATATCATGGACGCGACGGTTCAAGCTGTAATTGAGCGTCAACAAGCTACAATGCTTGAGAAGTTGTCGACCATCTTCGACACCAAGATAGAAGGCATGAAACGGCAGTTGGAAGAAGTTTCCACCAAAGCCCACGAGTCCCAAATGAACGAACTGAAACGGATGCGGTTCATTGAACCTCGGTCATTCAAGAAAAAGGGGCACGAACAGCAATATAAACACAATGAGAAGGTCAAAGCCGCTGTCACAGAAGCCAAGGAAGCCATCTTAGCTCACAAACAAGATGCCTGCAGTACCAAGCTAGACGAAGGTATTGAACTAATAGACGGGCGCCAGAAGCTCATTCTAATGGCTGACCGTTCAGAATACGGGTGGAAAACAGTGGGAGAATGTTTAGACAATGAGTTAGCAGATAACGACGACGACGCAAAAAAGATGAAAAAAGCCGAGAAAGAAGCACAGAGGAAGATAGCCTAAACACGTGCTACCAAAGTGACGAAGAGCCGCGCTTCGTTTAGTAGACTCCCAAGACCAGTTAATACTAACAGCTCATCCTCTAACCAATTCGCTTCTCCTGGAAACACATTCCCTCGTTCATCTGTTGTAGCTGGTACTATGAGAGGGCCTGTTCTCAGTGGTCCATTCAGAAGAAGCGGATCGTGCTTCAGTTGTGGGAAAGTAGGTCATTGGAGGAGCGAGTGCCCCCTACTGGCTGTTGCTCAAACACATGAAGGAAAGAAGTTAAGTAACCTTAATATGAATTTGT